CGAAAAAAATCCAGAAATATATTCGCAACCCTTTAAAGTCTGTGCGCCCCAAATCGAGTCCCTGGACACGGGGGGAGGGTGGAAGGTCGCCTCCTCCCCTCCGTTTGCCTCCTCTCCAGGTGGACCCGAGCAGCGTGGTGCTCCGCTTCCGCGACCAGGCGATGGAAGGGGGCCTTGAACGAAGGGAACCCCTAATTAGTGTGACCACATTGCTTGGGGGGACAATCCACACTGCTTGGGAGCCCTGGGAAAAAGACCGATTGACGTCAAGAGACCAAGCAAGAGTTCCAACGAAAATTGGACATGAGGAGGAAATCTGGTCTGGCCGGGGAAATTGCGTGAGCTGTTTCTCATGACATCAAATGGTTTAGGTATGGTGGATGTTTCTTCGTGGTCGACCGACTGAAGGACTGTGCAAATGACGAGTTGGGTCAATCGTATTTGTCCGGGGCTCCATTTGCATTCATTTGTTAAAGGTGATTCCCGGCCTTTCACAGTCGATGCTTCCGGCAGGAAAGCACCGTGGAAATCTGGGATCCACTCGCGCTTTCGCTGGTGGTGCACTTCATGTCTCTTCAAAATCGGGAACTAAAGGTCACCAACAAAACAACAGATGGATGGAGATGTCCCTCTCACTGTTGGAGCGCTCGGACTTCTACAGCCACAGGTTCATGCACCCCCAAAACTTCAACAGCAGAGGTTGGCGATCCGACCGGCGACGGCTCCGGCCTTTAGGCCTTATGGCCTGTTCGCATGGGAGGCCAACTCGTTGCTATTCCGCAATTCCTCGTTGCCATCATATTGGATATTTCTCGAGACGGGGGGAACCTGGGAACCCATTGATTCGATCATACCCCTGGGCAAATGTCCATGCGTTGGGAGCAGATGTTGTCCGCGGCAGCAGAACAGAGACGGTGTGGAGAAAGGCTTCAGGTGGCCCCAGGTGGCGTCCTACGTCGCGCGTCTTCGCCAGCCCTTCTTGTCTCACTCGCAGGATGGCCAGCTGCTGACCATCCATGATGATCTGAACCTCGTGCGTGCCATGGAGGACCGCTGGCGTGGACTGTGGGACTTGCGGCGGAATGGTTGGCTCCAAAAAGCGGGGAGAGGCGGCAGAGGTGTCGTGATGTTTGAAGCGAATTTGCTGTAGAGTCTCAGTGAAATATTGGAGAACCTGCGTGTGGTGATGGAAGTGATGGAGTGTCCTGGGTCCTTGCACAAAGCTTGGTGCAAACATCGTTTGGGAATCACAATTCGAGCGATTGCTACAAGGATTGCAATAAGGACCACTATCACAACGAGCACGATCAAACTGATCCCTAAGATCACTCTCATCGGCCTTCCACCAAACCATCCTTGTTTGGGTGTCTCTTTGGGACGGAGCAGAGTGTTGTTCGGACGGCAGCTTGACGGGACGCACAGCATGGTCGAGGCCCTTGTTTGCCTAAGCTGCCATAGCTGCCATAGTAAGCTGCCTTGTTCCCAATTAGCCCAGGCCTTTTCTTGGCTCAGTGATTGCTCCTCGTTTTTGGCTCCACCATCCGTCCGGTCGGCGGTTCGGCGGTTCCAGCCGTTGCAGGAGGCTCGAGACTCCCAAGGTTTGGTGCAACTGGACTTCCTTCTTCAGGCGAAGCAGCTGGGGCGGCTGTCGCAGCTGGGACGGCTGTCAAATCGCGACGAAAAAGGAAGGAAAAGTATCAAAAGGAAGGCAGGGAATGGAGGGAATCGAGGAATTCTTGGAGACCTTTGAGTTCCCTTCAGCTTTCCATTCTGTGGTGCTTCCCTCCACTGCTTTGGCACCTCAGGTGGCACCTCAGGCGAGGCAGCAGCGGCAGTGCCGCAGTTGCCAGCAGCGCTTTGGATGCAGCGGCGAGTGAGGGAGTAGGAGAGGTGACGGAGTACTGGAAGGCCACGAAGTCCAAAACCTTTGTGCAGTGGTCCTAACCACAAAGTCTTACACTCATTGAGTCATGACAGGCATTGGTCCATCACTTTGGACCTCGACCACAATGCTTGCCAGCGGGGTCCATCTTTGTAGCGCGCGAAGCAGGGGATCCTGGTGGGGGATCCTGTCTTCCAGGTGTCAAGACTCATAGTGGGGAAGCCCTTTTTGCTATGTGTGTTTTTGTCGTCTTAAGATTGTAAACTCTTGGCGCAAGAGGGCGCGACTCCCCAAGAGGGCGCAATTCGTGAAGAGAAGAGTCTTTGGGGATTGGTTTGGGAGTGTTGGAGCACGAGCAGAATCATTCTGATGAATCTGAGTGTAGGCCCGAGTAAGCACCCCGAGGAGCAACTACTTTTCGCTCTGTTTTGGGAGGGTGTCAGCCCTGGTGCATGTTTTGTTTGAACCTCACGTTGTTCAGTGGTTCATCCAATTGCAGATCAGGTTTTGGAATGGAAAGAACAAGTGGGATGACAGACCATCAAACTATTGAGGACCATGGGTAATTAAGCAGTTTCTCACACCCCGAGGTAAACTCACCCAGTACCTCCCGCAAACGAATGCTGAAATTTCAACGTGACGACCCCATTCTCTACCCAAAAACCTCAGCTAGGGACGGGAGAACCACGTCCCTTTGGAGGCTCTTCACCTCTCGAAATCAGCTCTTCTTGCACTTGAAAGCCAGCCGCTGGGCGTCGAAACCGGTCACGACCCACGGGGGATCATTCGCTCTTATGGGGCGCAAAGGGGATGAGAGCCACTCCGAAAGTGGACCTAAGAGTGATGAGCATCAGAGATCCATAGTGTGAGATTAGAAGGCATGTCAGACCCATTTGAGCATGTTGAGCATGTGGACTCATCCGTGGCCATTTGATCCTGTCAGGGAGGGCATCGTCGACGACTCGAGCCATGTGAGCGGAAAACGATCGCTGACGCACTTCGGTTGTGCATTGTTGTTCACCTGTGGTTGGTGATAGCATTGGTTGTGTTGACATTGCTTGTTGACATTGTTGGTTGAGGGCGCAGGCCCATAGCAAGTTGATTGGAGTTGCTACCAAGTTCATGGTAGCGGAGCCCCTTCCTGGGGGCTCCCGCCATGGTGCTTGACAAAGGAGCTGAGATCCCGACCTGGTCAGGAGACCCTGTTGAGTTTGAAGCATTCGCTACAGCATGCCGCTGGTATGAAAAGTCATTGAAGAGCTCAGAGAGGCAGCAAGCAGCAAGTCGGATTTGGGCGAGGTTGACTGGACCGGCACGTGCAGTGGTTCGGCACCTAGATCCCGATGACTATGAAGCTGATGATGGGCTATCACGCCTTGTTGATGTGTTGAGGAAATCTCCACTACAAGCATTGCCCATTGCAGACAGTTTCAAGCGGCTTGATGCATGGCACATGTTGAAGCGGTTGCCCGGTGAGTCAATCCCCAAGCTTCTAGTCAGAGAGGAGGACATGTTTGTGCAGTTACAATCTGCTCTGACTAGGGCTCGGGAAGACCGGGGATTGTTGGCACCTCCCATGATTCAGGAAGTCACTGGAAGAGGACCACCTTCAACGCCTTCACAGAGTCCAATGGCTGGGATGCGGTTTGTTGAGCGTGAGCGCACTGATCCTGTGGTATCCACACCTCAGGCTCAGCCCGCTTATATGCCTGATTTCTTCGAGGACGAGCTCAGGGGGTATCGCCTGTTGAAGGCGGCGAAGCTGACCAGTTCAGAGAAACAAAACATATTGACCCAAACGGGCAATAGCACCGGCTTCCTCCAGATTCGTCGAGCATTGCGGACATTGTTTGCAGAGGAAGAAGAATCGCAACATTGGGGCCGCAAGCCCAAGATCTGGTGGCAGCAAGAAGATGCTGGTTGGGATGAGTTCGACGAAGCGCCATGGGATTGGGAGCACGATCCAGGTCCCTCATCATGGGAAGATGGTGAGGAAGAAGCATACTGGAACTGGACCTCAGACTGGCAGGATGACGCTGGCGAGTGGGAGTGGGCCGTTGAAGATGAGTCCATTCCTCATGAAGAGGGTCAGGATCCAGCAGAGCAGCAACTACGTGAGGCTTACGCCCTTGCAGGTGAGGCCAATCGAACCTTGGCTGAAGCACGAGATGCCGTTCGTCGTGTGCGTCAAGCACGTGGCTATTTCGCGCCAGAGTCGGCGACAGGCAAGGGCTCAGCAACGAAGGGCATTGGTAAGGGCAAGGGCAAAAGCAAGTCGTTTGGCGGCAAGAGCAATTCAGGTGGCAAGGGCAGGAGCTTTGGTCCGTGCTTCGTATGCGGAATGCAAGGTCACAGCTACAAGGACTGCCCTGACAGGTTTTCCAAAGGAGGTGGCAAATCGTTCGCCCGCAGCTCATTTGGTCGTTCACCCGGTAAGAGTTCTGGGAACGCCGTGCAGTTTCATTCATTGTCCGTGACCCCTGGCATTTTCATGTCGGACGTGACCGAAGGCACACGAGTCATAGTGGACACAGGTGCATCGGAAAATGCTGTAGGTGCTGATTCACTCCAGCAGCTGCTCGAACAGTCTGGTTTGATTTACACTGTTGATGTTCATGATAGACCAGTGTTCAAGTTTGGGAACGGACACCAGGCACAGGCATTGAGCCGAGCGGACATCCAAGGGACTTCGATTGGTGCAGTGAGCTTTTACGTTTTGGGCCATGATGCAACCCAGACTCCACCACTGCTCGGAGGCAAGACCTTGCGGCAGCTCGGGGCCATGCTGGCCTACGACAACGACCTCTTTATCTATCGAGGTCAGAATCCTCAGAAGACCTCGTGGTATGCAGTGAAGATGGGAGCTCACCACACACACCATGTTTCTTTGGATTTGGTTGAAACAGCCACTGTCATGGAGAACCCCCACATGTGGTTTGCAACAATGACACCTACCCCGGCAGTTGATGAGCAGTTGAATGAACCCGACAAGGGCATCTACATGTTCACAGCATCTTGCACTTCACCTTCCATGCCTACTAGCGATCTGGCTCAAAGGTTGAGAGATCTTCAACTCCGGCTTCGTGATGGAAAGCAGCCGTCTCCAACCATGTGGCAGTCAAGACCCACGGTTGACCGAGTGGCCATGCAATGCACGCCACAAGACGGGCAAGATCCGGCAGAACCAGTTCGCGAGCTGGTCGACATGCGCTCGCTGTGGACTCAGGCTGACGTACGAGGTCAAGCCCAAGGGCCATGGGGAGACAAGGTCAGCCGGACCCCATCCGAATCTGGTTCGCCTGGCTTTGGATCAGCTGCAGCAGTCAATGTCAGCGAACGACTGCACGGAGAAGATCGTCATGGGCAAGGTGATGGAGTTGAAGGGCCTCCAGATGCAGAGAGGTCTGACGGAGACAATGGCAATCAACCTCACTTTCCAGGAGTATGCCAAGCAGATGGGAGCCCAGGTGGAGAGCAAGACATTGCTGCCGGAAGCACAATCCTCAGCGCCAAACGAGGCAAGTCCGAAGAAGAAGAGCGAGGAATCAGGGATTGCCCAGTACGACCTGATCCGCATGGCAGCCGCGGAATACCTGCTCAAGAAGACTGGCATGGACTCCCTCGATCCCGAGGAATTCAAGGCTGCAGTGGAAGCCCACATTGCCAAGGCAGCCGAGGAAGCACCAGAACCTCCGAAGACGCCGGTCAAGACCGAGGGCAGGATGAAGACTTCCAAGAAGAAGATGACGGAGCCAGTGGACATCTTCTCGTCAGAGGAGGAGAAGGTGATTCCCAACGGGGGCTCGGCGGCATCTGGGCAGCACTGAAGAGTCTCCAGCGAAGGCTGAAGGGTTCGGTTGAGAGCCCCACGACACCCACGTGCACTACGAGCACTACGACTCCAGTGGATGAGCATGGAAGTCCATCAAGTCAACCCCGAAGTGCCATCCAGTTTCAAGGCAGCCATCGAGATGATAGCGCCAGTCGGCATCAGGGCAACTTGGTGGAGGAGCAATTGCCACTTCCAGGTCCTGGAGGAGGAAAGAAGCATGGAGTGCCACCCTCAACGGCACGAAAGCTGGCAGCCAACTCAGCAATGCTGAGTGCTATGATGGTGATGTCTGTTCGAGGGCTCTTTGGACAGCTCTCGAGTGGGACAGATTTTGTTGAGATCGCACGTTCACCCACATCCTCAATGACATCGGCAATGGAGGAGCTTGGACACCATTGCACGAGGGTGAACTTCAAGAGTGGTTATGACCTGGAGAAGAAGTCCGGGACCACAGCCCTGTCTCAGATGATCAAGGAGAAGCGGCCACGCCATGCATGGGTCAGTTTGCCATGCACAAGGTTGACAGGCTTGGTCAACCTCACTATGAGGAATGAGGTGGAGGAAGCTGCATTCCAGAAGCGTCAAGGCCGAGATCTTCGCAGGGCAGATGAGGTGGTGCAGGCGGTGGAGCCCATGCTAGAGGCTGGAGACGATGTGAGTTGGGAATGGCCAACAGGAGCCAAGAAGGGCTGGAGATCCAACGCCATTCAACGGCTTGAGAGATTGGCGCGCCGACATGGTCGGCGACTTTACTGGTGTCACTTCCACGGCTGTGCATATGGTTTGCAGTGGCGAGGACATCCAGTTCAGAAGTCTTGGACAGTGGCCACTACATGCCGTGAAGTTTGGTTGGCACTGCAGAAGAAGTGTCCTGGTCACCTTGATCACGTCCACTGTCGTGGACAAGTGGCTCAGGCATCATCGTACTACCCAGAGCAGATGGTGCGGGCGGTGACCAAGGCAATCAATGCCTCTTGGACACGTGTGGACGAGAAGGCCGGAACCTCTTTGGCTTCGGACGTGTCCTGGTACATCAATGAGGTTGATGACGGTGCCAACAACGAGACTGCGGAGACCTATGGCCTGTTCGCAGCAGTCGAGGACCAAGAGAGAAGTCGAGCTGAAGGTTGGGTTCGTCATGAAGACCCATCAATTCTAGCGGTCACCAGAAAGCGCTTTTCTGAAGAACCGCCGACAGGCAAGGCCCTAGAACAAATCAAAGCCCAACTACTTCGAGTGCACAAGGCATCTGGACATGCCTCATGGCATTCGTTGGCTCGTCTCCTACAAGTTCGAAAGGCACCATCCTGGGCAGTGAACTTAGCCAAGAACATGCAGTGCCCTGACTGTCAAGAGGCCAAGAGACCGCAATCAGCGCCTGTGGCATCATTGCATGAGACCCCAACACTCTTTGAAGTGGTCGGGACAGACATCTTTGAGTACGAGCACAAGGGCCGCAAGCACAAGTTCATGATGATGAGAGACCGAGCAAGCGGTCTGCTGATGGTCGAACACCTTCGATCATATGGAGGAGAAGCTGATGAGGAGAAGTCATGGGAGCCCACGAGTGAAGTGATTGTGAAGGTTCTTGCACGATGGATGATGCACAATCCAAGTCCAAAATGGCTGCTGACAGATTCTGGGACATACTATGCCAGCTGGTTCATGGATGATTGGTTGGGTCGCAGCGGCATTGGACATCTCGTTGCACCTGCAGAAGCACATCATCTACTTGGACCGGAGGAGGGATCCATTGGCATTATGAAGAATGCTGTCCACCGACTCATGAAGGAGATTCCCGACTTGGAGGTGGATTTGGCTTTTGTCCTAGCAGCTCATGGACACAACATGACGGTGGGACCATCCGGCTTTTCGCCCTTCCAATGGACGAGAGGTGCTTCTCCAACTATGGATGCGCTACCACTGGGTCTGGATCCACGTCAGGCCTACGGTGGAATGTTGAAGTTGAAGGAGAAGGCGAGGATCGCCTATGAGATGGAAAGTGCAAAGGCCCGATTGAGCCGATTGAACAACACCGTGCCACAGAAGGTGCAGAACTACAAGACTGGTGCTCTGGTGATGCTGTGGCGGCAGAAGAACAGACCAGGCAAGGTGTCTGGCAACTGGATTGGTCCTGTACGAGTTCTGCTGCAAGAGTCCCAAACTCTATGGTTGGCAACAGGAGCATCCCTGATCAGAGCTCGAACAATTCAAGTGCGTCCATGCACTCGGCGAGAGGAGCTTCAAGCCACCTTGACTGGGACAACCATCATCAAGCAGCCGGTGACCCTCGAGTCTTTGCTTCGCAACTTCACTGGCAGGCACTACTCTGATGTGACAGGTGACACCCCATCGATGGAGCAAATGGAGCAGGACGTCCAAGGAGCAGAAGTTCGTCGTGAACCAGCCAATGTGGTGAAACCAGATTCATGGAAGACAGCCTACGAGGGCGACAAGAAGTGGCTTGTTCGAGTACACACCACACCACGGCTGACGCTCTTCGCCCCTGGCAGAATGACTTCAATGCCCCTCGGAATGGAAGACCTGACTGGCCGGAGGAAGACAAAGATCCGAGGACTTCAAGAAGATGCTAAGGAGGTGGAATTTGAAGACGACTTCAAGGAGGCTGAATATCCCACACGTTCCATGCAGGAGCGATGGACTGGGGAGACCTGGTTTGAGATGACCTCCAAGAAGGATGTGGTCTTTGCTCCAAGAACTCCAGCATCAAAGAGTGCAGCACCTGGCACACCAGCAGCGGCCAAGTCTACGGCCGTGAAGAAGTCCAAGGCAACTCCCAAGGCAAGGAAGAGAAAGGCAGAAGGAGTTCAGGAAGGCTCAAAGAGATCCCCTCCATTAAGGGAGGAAGCTCCAGGCACACCTGGAGTGAGCCCGATGACGACAGCCCTGGGAGAAGATTCGGAGGAGGACAAGACCACGACCAAGTGTGGTCATGATGCATGTGTTTTGCGAGGTGGACATTCCGGACACCACGAAGATGGCCAAGGACGGAAGTTCATTGTGAATTCAAATGGAACTACAACGACCATGGAGGAATCCTCTTCTTCATCCTCAAGTTCCACATCCTCGTCGAGTTCCGATGAGTTGATCCCAGAAGAGAAGATGCCGGTACTCTATGGTACCACTGGGAAGTGGACGGCCCTACCAGAGGCCCAGCTGAGGAAGGAGAATGTCGACAGTTCCGAAGTTTTCTATGTGTTGGAGATTCCCATCGAGCCCTCTGACACCAAATTTCTTTCAGCTCACCCTGACAAGGCAAGCATTTGGCTCTCCAAGAAGATGTTGGAGAAAGGCAAGGAGCATCGCTGGACTCAGATGAGTTTAGAGGAGAAGAAGCAGTTTGACATGTCGCAAGCAAAGGAGCTGGCAAATGTGTTGACCTCCAAGGCATTGAGATCCCTGACGGAGTCCGAGCTGGCTTCATTGGACTGGTCAAAGGTGATGGACATGAGGTGGGTCCTGACCACCAAGGCTGACGGCACCAGCAAGTCTCGACTGGTGGTGCTTGGATTTCAGATGCCGGGCATTGGAGAGATTCAGACAGCAGCTCCGACTATGGCACGGGTTTCCCGCAATTTGTTGCTTTCACTTTGTGCCAACAACAAGTTTAGGCTTCGAGCTGGAGATGTGACAGCAGCATTTTTACAGGCCGAGGAGAGTTTGGAGGAGCTTGGTCTAACGGTGCACGCACCTGCTGAATTGGCGGTACTGTTTGGGGCGGACCCCAACAGTCCATCAGCGGTGCTTCGCATCACCAAGGCTTTCTACGGCTTGGTGCAGGCGCCACGTTGCTGGTTCAATGATGTGACAAAGACAATGGTGTCGCATGGCTGGCAGACAATTCTGGCCGACCGTTGTTTGTTCATGTTGTATGATGATGACGACAACTCAATCATTGGAGCAGCTGGGATTCACGTGGATGATTTCTTGCTATGTGGCAACGACCAACACCCCAAGTTCAAGAAGGCGGAACAGATGTTGCTGGACAAATACAAGTGGGGCAAATGGCAGACAGAAGACATTGAGTTTGCAGGTTGCCACTTGGTTAAGCTGGCGGATGGCAGCTTGCGCATTGATCAGGAGCAATATGTGCAGAAGTGGATTGAGGAAGTCCCTTTGAGCAAGGAGCGTGCCAAGCAAGTCAAGTCTCCTTTGACATCCAAGGAGATTAGCAGTTTGCGAGGAGCATTGGGCACCCTGGCTTGGAAATCTGCACAGACAGGTCCACAATTTCAGGCCGACACCAGCCTTCTTTTGTCGGAGGTGACAGTGGCCAATGTTGGGACATTGCTCAAGTTGAACAAGCTCGTACGAGAAGTACGAAGAGTTGCAAGCCAAAGCCTCCTGTTCCCAGCCTGGGGACGCCATTGGCGAGACCTCATCGCTGTCTCATGGTGCGACGCTGGTCAGCAGAATCGCCCGGATCGTTCATCGACGCTGGGAATCCTCACTGGATTGGCACCGAAGGAACTGCTAGAAGGAGCTGAGTGTTTGGTCTCGGTCATCAACTGGCGATCGGGACGCACACCACGGCAGTGTTTGGGCAGCAATGGTGCTGAAGTCCAGGCGGTGACAGAAGCCGAAGATGTCACCTTCAAGGTCCGTGCAATGTGGTCAGAAATGCACGGAGAGAAGTTGACCAAGCAGAACCTCTACGAGAAGGTTCGACAGGGCATTGGAGGTGCGCTGGTGATGGACACTAGGGGGATCTTCGATGCGATCACCCGAAATGTTTCAGCTTTGCACGGCTTGAGGTCCAGCAGAGCTGGATACGAGCTCACGTTGGCCATCCAGCAGGGCATCCAAGTGATGACCAAATTTCGCTGGGTGAACGGTTTGGCCCAGTTAGCTGACTGTTTAACCAAGGCAGGTGAGCGCCGTGTTTTCCTTCAATTTATGGCCCGAGGCCAGTCCTGGCGCATCATCCATGATGAGCAATTTACAGCCGGACGCAAGCTCAAGAAGCGACAGCTTGAGCAGGCCGCCAAGGAAGCCGAATCCCTGTTCATCGAACAGCTGAAGAAGCTGGCATTGGAACAGCGGTGGCCGTGGGACACGGATGAGCCCAGAAGTAGGGGTGATGTGAGATTAGAAGGCATGTCAGACCCATTTGAGCATGTTGAGCATGTGGACTCATCCGTGGCCATTTGATCCTGTCAGGGAGGGCATCGTCGACGACTCGAGCCATGTGAGCGGAAAACGATCGCTGACGCACTTCGGTTGTGCATTGTTGTTCACCTGTGGTTGGTGATAGCATTGGTTGTGGTGACATTGCTTGTTGACATTGTTGGTTGAGGGCGCAGGCCCATAGCAAGTTGATTGGAGTTGCTACCAAGTTCACATAGTAAATCCAAGCCCGAGGTGAAAAACTGCACTGGGGGTGGTGTAGAAGCATCCCTGACGCGTTCATGCTGGGAGATTCCCTTTTGTCACGTGACACTGTTCCGCCCAACTGTCGGGGTCAAGCGTGCAAGCTGAGTCTTGATGCAAGCGACTAAAAATGTCTCGTTTGATCTGTCCATCAACACGGCACTTTCTTGTCATGCTTGTCTCGGCATGTGAAGTCAAGAGCCTCCAGTGACCACAGCGGCACAGTTAATCAGAACATATCAAGACACTCCCAGTTCACTTCATTTGCTTGCGTGCACCTGCGGAAAGAACACCCCATTGACCTGTTGGGACCTGTTCGCGCAACCTACCTTCGCGAGCTGCACAGCGCGTCCCTGAGGTGGCCATGATGAGGATCTTCCCAGTGACGAGGAGCTGCAGGGCTCCCGCGCACGCCGTGGCAGCGCACAGCGGTCTCAGACATCTTCCTGGTTTGATGAACTTCGGGTTGCTCTTGAAGGGTGTTTGACTGGTGTGGTTGGGGATCACTTGCAGACCAGTGTGCGCCCACTTGGTGATGAGCCTACCTGGACCCAACAGCACCTTGAATCAGAGGATCCAGCTGGCAAGCAGCAAGTCCTTGAGAAATGTGATATGGAAAACGGACTCCCTTTACCACCACGCTGTGTGTGTTTTCTGTCGAATGTGTGCAAAACGGTTTTTAACTGGCGGTTTGGAAGCGGGGTCTCCATGTTCCCCATTCAAAAAGGGAGAATGATTAGCAGGTTCATCTGAGTTCCCCATGCACCTCCTTCTCGTTGCGCTTGGATGTGTCTCACCGATCCAAACGCCCAACGGAGTCCTTCCGGTCGCGGGCGTCCCGACGCCGAAAGCACCGTTCGGTGGACCGAGGCGTGAAGTCTCTCGGTGCCAGAGATGCGCATAGAGCCTGGGACACCATCGGTAGGTCATTGGGCCATTGGGGCGAGGAAGAAAGCTTTTGCAAGCCTTCTAACCCAAAGATCGTCCGTGGCACGCCACTGGAGACGTGTTTCTTCGAATGGTGTGGCTGCTAATCGCTGACTTCTTCTTCCGTCAAGCGTTGCAGGTGCTCTGCTCGAGGCTCCTGCAATGGGCGAAAGGCTATTTGCCAACGGACGCAACAAACCGCCTTCGTCCGTGCCTGCCTCGAACGCACCAAAGGGCGGCGTCAGCTGTGGCGTCTGCGGCAGGTTCACCGCCGCACCGCTGCGGCGGCCGGACGCGTCGGTCGTCGCCGCTCACGGGCAAAGTGCACAGTGAAGAGGTGGAAGGACTCCGGTCCTGCCTTCGTCTCGTCTCTGACCCGAAGCGAAGTGGCCGGGCCGGAGCCGGCTCACCGGAGCTCACCGACCATCCCCAGTTCAGAGTGAAACGAAGTTGGTGAGGTGCAAGGCACTGACAGCTGCTCTCACAGACGGCATCCGCAAAATTCTGCCTGCCGAGTCCTTCTACAAAGAGTTCATCATGAAAACGAGTGTTTTGGCTGCGTGTTTCGCCCATCGCCAGGAGCCCCACGAAAGCGCTGGTGCCGGCAGCCTGAAGAACGACGCCTTTTGTGCCTCGGAGTCCAACGAACCGGCGGCTTCGGCCAGAAGGTCAGAGGAAGCGTCTGAAGTCGCTGGTGCGGTGCCAGCGACTTGCAACAAGGGTGGGGAGTTTGAAAGGGCGAAATTGAGAGTTTGGCCCTTGAAACACTGGCCACTGGCCGTATGGGTCGGGTCTAAGACCGGACGACAATGTCAGACACTGTTTCGATTGACCTGATTCCATTAGCCCAGAAGAGCTGTTCTTCACACTCAGGTCAGTGTTTTCACAGTGAACCAATGATGAGAGGCATCAAAAGCTACTTCTCAGAAAGCATGATGAGTTGGTACAAAGTCAGGAGATGTCTTATTCTTGTGTTTTTGTTTTGATTCTTTTAATTGGGAAGAAGAGCTATGTTCCTGTAGAGCTCATTGCTTGGAGGAAGTGCCGCTCAGAATTGCTACGAGCGGAAGATAGATCCTCAGCAAGTCGACAGCAAACACCACACTAACCATTCGCCTTCCGAACAAACCACCTGTGCTGAGAAAACCTCAGCCACCTGTGCGGAGGGACGTGTGTTCCCGGAAATCCCGATGACGAATTCGCATGTGGAGTCCATTTGTTTCAGACCCCGTGATCTCAAATGCACTGATTGATCGACAGGACTGATTGATGGTAGAAGATCTCAGACGAGCTACAGCTAATGCGCCTATCTCAAGATCCTCAACCCAACATTCCTTTGTGACAATGTTCCCAAACACTCCTTTGTACAACATATTAGTATATACACAATGTTCTTCCAAAGAGGTGGTTGTGACAGTGAATGGTTGTGAAATCACCTGATTTAGCAACAAGAAAGCTTTCTAGTAACTAGAAGCTACTAGGTGGAGGCCATCGCTATTGGTAACAAGAAGCCACTAGTTTGTCTTCCAGACATCGCCCTTGGACCCGCCGGGCGGTGCGTTTTCGACGCCGAGGCGACTACTACCGTCAGCAGCGCATCGTGCCGGAGGAGCTTTGGCCCTTGGCCTACGAGGCGATTTCGAAGAACGGGCTTCGGGCGAGAGAGGACCTGCCGTTTCGGGGGCGACGGAAGTGTTTGGAGGGCCTGCGAAGGCGCCTCGTCGAAACTGGGGCGTCAAGAAATGTCGCCTCATTTTCTTGGGCAAGACCTTGGAAGAAGTGGAGTAGGTAAGGGACAGGAGTTCCGGAGTTCCTGTCAAAATCACCAAAGGGGAAGATCAAGATGGCCCGACATAGATCACCCTCTTGGAGTGCGTTACGCATCACAGGTCCTCGCTCTGGTGGGTCCAGAATTGAACATGGACTGTAGTAGAAGGAGCGTGATGGATGTTGTGGTTTTACGCCGACTGAAGGTCCAAAAAGAACTCAATCCTCCTAGGCAGCTCACAGCTTTGTGAATAGGAGAGTGGATTCAACATGAGGGATATCATAACATCGACCAGAAGAATCATGCCATCAAAGGCAAGCCACCGCTTGGGCCCCACCTCGGCAACAGAAGGTATAAGAGAAATGCATCTCCGCTTCCTAGATAGATGCTGTCTTACTTGCCCCCGGACAGCGTCTACTTGTTGATGAATCTTTGATGGACCTCCTGTGAATCCAAAAAACTCCAGTCCTTCGTCCAAAGACATGGACTGAAAAACCTCTATGACATCTAGACTCTATGACGCGCATCGATGACCCATTAGAAGAGCTTGGACCACCTCCACGGAGGGAGGCCCCACGTGACCCACGGGATAGTCAAGTGGTCCAGGAAACATGACCTCTGCTTGGCAGAGGTTTTGCGCGTCATGTGGTCCATCCACGCAAACAACATCTCCCGCTTCAGGTCACTTATAGAACCTCTGTTGGTTCTTCCCCCGTTCTGCCCCGCTAAAAGGCATTGAAGACGCCGCTGCCACTGGTGTTGCGGGCCACGGGCCATGCCTTGGCCACCGGGGCTGAAGTGGCTTCCGACGAGGTTTTGGGTCAAGAGAAGCATGACGCCAAACGGATTGTTCTGCAGGCTGCAGGTGTGCATATCACAAAAAATGCAAAAGCATGGGGGTGATTAGACCACACTTCTGCGATGAAATCCCAACATAGAGGACACATGTCAAGGTGGCTTGCTAGTCAACAACGGTTGAATTTACACGACCATGCACATCCATGGGTCTATGGGAGCAAGAAGCTACTAGTAGCTCCTGGCATGACTACTAGGAACAAGAAGCTACTAGTAACAAGTGCATTACTATTAGTAGCAAGAAGCTACTGGTAACAAGTGCATCGCTACTAGGTGTTTAAGAGATCTGGTAGAAGAAGAGCTTCTTTGGGGAAGATACGGCATTGGACTCTAAGTTGATCGGAGAAAGTCAACATTTTCGTGTGGTCTTCCATTTATTCAGGGGTGTCAGAAACATCTCGTTTGCATTCCCAGCATCAAACGGAAAATGCCTTGGGTAACAGAGATGTGGCTAACTCCGATACAGCCGATGGACACCAGGTCACTCGGTTCGGAAACATGAACAGCACTCCAATCCCCCCCCGGTGTGCATGGACTTGGTCCCGGTTGCCAAGGGACTTCGTTCAAGTGCCCCACGTGGTCAGACCCGGTCGGGAAAACCCGGTCGAACGCGGCCTCCAACCTACCGATGCGGCCTAGCCTCGGGCAGAACTTGGTGGAGAACTTGTTCTAGCTCAGGATACTCTTCTCCTTGCCTTCTCTCGAAAACCACTTGGTTCGTCTTTGTATCAACCGAAGGGACTGCTTTTTGGAGCCAAGGCCACCGACTGCGAACAGCGTTTGGCAGAGACGCTCAGTTTGGAGGAGTCGGCCGCCTCCGCCTCGCAAAACGGCGTTTGGCTCCTCAACGGTGTCGTCCTCGACGCGGTCGAAACCGCACGGTTTGGAACCTCGCTCGGTGAAAACCCTCGATCCGATTCCCCGTGCGGTCTCAGTTTCGGAAAACGTATGAAAACGCTGCAGAAAGGTGCCAATGGGCGATGTTTGTGGTTTCCCCCTTCAACAGCGATAGATTAGGCTATGAACCCATAGGATCCCATGGGCCTTAGATAGAACCTGGCGCATCATGCTCGTCACTTGGAGCTCACAGGGTGGAAACTTGAAGGAATTCATCTCGAGTGGCTACATATCGTTTGTCGTTTCGCGTTCCATTCGATTTCGTCCGTTGACTGCAGCACCTGTGATAAAGAAAAGCAATATCCTTTTTGCCATTCGCACGAGTCTTTTCATGTCGTGATGGCGAAAAAGAACAAGAAGATGGGTCAGAGTGTAGCACTGAAAACCTGAATTTCACCCAAACCACCTGGTTTAGTAAACAGGTTCATCATGCTGGTGGACCTAGCAAGTAGATACTGAACGCGAACTGCTTAGCAAGTGCTAAAGGTTCCAACGAAGGACTCCCCAAGACCTGCTTCTGCTCAGGATGACGGACGCTTGGCCGGACAAATAAGGGATGGTCGAACGGTCCCTTTGTTGGGGGTTGCTTCAGAAAACGGATCCGACGGTTGGTCCAGGAGTCACAAGACGGGGTGCCGAACTTGGAGGTTAGGGGTGCCCATGAAGAAATTGTGTTACTCCCTTAAAGATTGAATGTCCAATCTTCTGACAATTTGTAGGTTTGAAACGATGCGGCAAGATCAGTTTTGCCATCACGGCAAAAAAGGAGACGCACGGCGATGCCATGAAGAGGTTGAACCGAAGACAGTGCTCCCGAACTCCCTTGGATGATCCAAGCAGACACTCAGAAAGAGTCCCCCCTTCCGTTCTCACTCATCGCACCGGTCCAGCTTGATCTCACCCATCCTGGTTAGAGACCAGAAGAAAGACCAGAAGAGCTTGTTGCAGCTTGGAAGCTCAGGAGCTGGCCCCATTGCCGCTCTGCAGTCACGCCTGGATGTTGCCCTGTCGCTTAGATCCCAAGGCTCGACAGTCCGCACTGGTGCGCTGCGCGTCTGAGCGCGGTTCGGGACATGGAACAATGGAGTCGGCGTGGACGTGCCGCAAAGTCTCAGCATCCTTGGCCAGAAAACTCCCGTGTTGTACCAGCCATACGGGCAAGACATGACGCTACTAGGAGCAAAGGACGCTACTAGGGGCTCCTGGCCTTACTACTATAGGAGCAAGGACGCTACTAGGAGCAAAGGGCATATGGGCAAGTGGAAGAAAAAAGAATCTTGCTTGAATCTTCGGCGTGCAAAGCTCCCAGCTCGACAGATCCCTGCAGCATGAGAAACAACACCCTCCCTCCAAGTTGGGCCGGGTTGTTCAATTGTCAGAAGTCTATCGCAAGCTGTCGGTGATGTTTCTTTCAGGTCCTGTGTTGCTTTTCTTTAGTTTAGGGTTCTGTGTGTGTGTGTGTGAACAATCCGAAGATACCCCAAAGAACCATCTGCTGCAAACAAATAAGTATATATATATATACCCTGGGAGTCAAACACTACAAAAAGAATGGTCTTTAGGGGAACTGAAAGGGAACTTCATTTACTCCAGCCAGTCAAAATATAGTCTTTGGACTTCTAGGGTATATATATATATATCTGTTTATGTGTGTTTGCTTATGTCGGACACACCGTCAAAGGCCGGGACATGTCCCCAAACGAACCGTGTTTTGGTTGATTCCCAGAGACGGGTCCCCAGAGACGTCCACGTCCGTCCGTTCGGAGCGTGAAGCACGTCCCCGCGTCCGACCCGGTGGCAGGTGAAAAGCTTCATCGCTGCAGGGCAAGCCTTGGGTGTGTGGCATCGACAGGAGATCTGAGACGAACGGAGAAGTCGGGAGAAGGGAGAAGGAAGACGAGCATCGCAAAGACGAGCTTTTCAGTGTATGACGGTGCCGCCATCGATCGCGGTGCTGACGGCCGTTTGTTTCGGGGGTGCATGACAGTCACAGGCACTGCCTGCCTTCATTCTCAACAGAAAGAAAAAAAAGGACAAAAGAAACAAAGGCAGTCTGCTAGATCCGAGGTGTGTGAAGCACACATCACTTGGAGAAATTTGCACTCTCCATGTTGGAGCCCGAATGCACTGCGCTGTTGGAGATTTTGGGGTCTGATGTATCCTGGTGGAAACCGGTGCTCCCTCTTTGACGAAACATGTTTTCTCCGTTCATCTGGTGATTGCAGGAGTGGGCCAGCATGTGCCTTGGTGGAGCCAAGTAGGTTGGAGGCCATTGCAATTGGGTTGGAGGCCATCACTAGTAAGGTGGAGGCCATCGCTAGTAGGTTCCTTTCGTAATGTTTTTTCCAGACGAAAGAGGAACGAGCGCTGGGTAAACCGCTCGGTTGCTACGCGGTGTTGCATAGACCAGGTGCATGTCTCGATGTGATTCTGTTTTGCCGTGCTCTCTTTGAGGGCGGAAGGTGTTCCCTGCTTTCCAAGTCTGGCGTAGTCTGGAGTTCCAAAGCAAGCAGCCGCCAAAAGTAAATCAACAAGGATACACCCACTTAAAACAAAATACACGGGCTGTTCTTATGTTTGTGCAGCAACAAATCTGCTCGATTGCTCCTACAGAGAGCAGTTCCCTTTGGCCACAAAAAAGAGAGAAATAAGCACAATTCCACAAAGAGGTTCCTTTCTACTTTCATTTGGTGCGCTTAACCCGCTGGAATCGTTGGTCCAACTAGCCATCGCCATCCTCACCAGCTCAGAAACTTCCAGCACACACTCCGCCAAGGTTGCCAGTGCTGGCATTGGAAGTGAAGCCAGACGAAACGGTCTTGGACCTTTGCGCTTCTCCAGGCAGATGGACATGGAGTGCTGGGTGATACTGATGGTGGATTGTGTTGGTCGATTGGATTTGATTGGTATATAAATAGTTCTAATGGATACGAAGGTGCCCCCCAATCATTGGTATGATGACCACCGCACGTGGTGAACATAAACCCACAACACCCAGCCCTTCCGCGGCTTAAGTCCATTTGCTTCCGGGGACCAATTCATTCTCACCAGCTCAGCATAGAAATCTGAATCGGAGAAATGCATCAGCCACTGATGCCAAAACCTTTCTGATTTCACCCGGTGAGGAGCGCATCATGAGCTCCAGCTGCCCCAGGTGGAGTCGAGTCGGGGGGACGTGCGTTGAACCGTTCGAAGGCTCAAAGACCTTGCAGCTCTTGGAGTACCAAAGTGGCGCGTCCGTGGATGGAGGTGCCGAGAAAAGAAAAGACTCCGACCACCGGGAAGGAGGATTTCCGGAGCCAAAGATGGAGGTTCGAAGATTTTCAGGGTTGAATAGGTTGGCTCTGTCCTATTACCTGTAACAGTCAGTAAACAATTATCATCATTTTTGGACAAGGCCTGCAACTGAACCATCATCATCCACTGGGCCCAGGTAATAGGATAGACCCAGTGAATAGGAAGGAAAAGAATAGATGTCTTACAACATGGATCTCATCATATCTCATCTTCTCAATCTTGGCCAAGAGTTCCCTGATTTGAAGACCACCTTCAGTCCACCTCCTTTGTTCTTTATCATCCAGCTAAGTCGGGATCAAACAAGATCCAAGTCCCCAAAAGTCCCCCCTTTCCCCAGCAGCCCAGCCACATATCCAACCTGATCCAACCTGGTTCGCCCCGCGCGGAGCTCGTCCGTTGGTTCGCCCGGCCATAGGACTTCTGGTGGCCAACGAGCTGAGTCGTTCCAGGGCCTTGGTCGTGGCCCAGCGTTCACGGCGCGCCGACCGGAGGAGCCTGCTGGTTTCGCGGCGAGAAGAGACGAAGCAGATGGAAGACAAAAGGGGAAGAATCCATCGGCTTTTATCATGGTAAAGCGGTTTTCTTTTTTCGCATAATTGCTAGTGTGTTACCAGATCTGTTTGTTTTGATCCGTGTGTGTTTGTGTTTTCCGGGAAACTTGGATTCTCAAACGGACAGATGTTGCCCGGACCCCAGATCAACACCGTTGATCGGAGAATGGAATCCTCGCCACCTGAACCATCCTGAAACCAAGAACTCCAAGCCGAATCATCCCGGATCCCATGCTTTCAAGGCACTTCCAACGTGTTCACCCACTGCATCGCCCGTGCTTCCCCCGCGTCTGCGCGCCGGATCGGGGGGTCGTTCAGGTGACGAACCTGGATGGTCGGCAGTTCCCCGCCTTGAAGACGCCCCAGGGCCGGAAGAGGAAGTTCCAGCGCCTCCGGCCGGAGAACGACTTCACTTGGTCGTGGTGGGGGTGGTGGTCGTGGGAGGGTAGTTTGTTGGGAAAGCGCTGGGCCAAATAGAAGTGGTTGGAGTCTCTTGCTCTCTTCAAGTCGTTGGATGGGCTGCAGGGTTGGAGTGCGGAATGAATCCTGGCGTTCCCGTGGTTGGAGTCTCTTACCGTACATGCGAAGGGGCTTCTTGGAGGTGTCGTAGTGCGACGGTTCGACGGTTCGACTTCTGTCCCAAACCGATTTGAACCATCCCAGGAAGCACTGGCTTTTGCTACGGGAACAAGCCTATAGCCTATCACATCTTGACATCAAATCCCACCTCTTCCCCAACCAAAAAGCCCCATGCGACGGTCGCAGCGTCGCGGTCGCGTCAGGAAGGTCTTGGTGGATGCTCCCTGCAGCGGCGATGGCACGCTCCGGAAGTCCTGCGGTGGCTGGGCCACGTGGCGCGCGGCCGAGGGCAACAGCCTACACCCACTGCAACGAGGCAGGGGGGGATGGGCCGCGTCTGGGCAACCCGAACACCGTCACATGCTCCATCGACGCTTTCGCGGTGCAAAAAGGCAGCGAAAGCCATGGGATCTATGGAGTAACTAGCAAGTAGCAAGGGATAGAACCACAGGGCTGGTCTGTTGTGATCCCGAACTTGAAAACAACGGAGTTTTGTCCAGCATGCCGCATCATGTAGGACGATTGGCAAGATTGTCCCCCACTATACGAAGGAAAGCGTATGTGTTTTTTTCTCCGTGGTGCGCTTGAACAAGGGGAGGCCCCTGAACCCCATTGTGTTTTTTCGTCTACTTCTCCATCCTACACCCAAGCAAAGGTCAGTAGTCCTGCACCGGACTACTGAACGTTTGATGGTTTAGTGGCTCTCCTGCACATGGACCCCTCCATGACGGTCTTTCTCTTCCCAAGCCCAGAGCTTCCGGGCATTCTTTAGTAAGAGCCTTCCAAAGACTGCTGCGGCCGTCCGGGAAGTTCAGAGCCTTTTAAAACAGCAGCGTGGTCCACCAAATTCCGTAACCATCAGGACAACCGACATCCCAATCACCCTCTTTTCATCTCTTTTCTTTCAAAGTCTTCTCATGGCTCAGAAGACTTTCCCCAACAAACCTTCCAAGTCGGCCAGGCCTATCGCGACGTCGCCCTTCGGGCCTTCGGCTCGTCACCAGGCCTCTTGCGCCGCGGCTTTGAGCTGTTGGAGCCCGGTGGCCGCCTCGTCTACTCCACCTGCTCGCTGAACCCCATAGCGCTCCGGCGTGCGTCGTCGGGGCGGCGCGAGCGGGCGATCAGCGGCGACGCCCGTGCTCTCCAGGAATGATAGCCTTGGGACCTAGAAGCTGTGAAAGCACCTGGTAAAGCAACATTGAGACTCAGTGATGCAAGAGATAGTTCTAGCAGAATCAAAAGAGTTTTGAAGGTGTTCTAGTTGTTTTCTTTGAAGTCCAGTCATGGGTATATAGAGGTGTTGACCGATAGCGTCATTGATGTGTGCTGCCTTTTTCAAGGTTTCAAACAGGCATGTTTAGTGATCAAAGCGATCTAATCATTGTTCACTTTGTGGAAAAGATTGCTTACCTTCCGGAAACGACATATCAAATGTTTAAGTCCTGGGTTGGAGGCAGGACTTCTGAAAGGCTTGATTGAGAAGAACTCATTCATAGCAAGTAGACTTGGAACGGAACAAGATGACCCAAGCCTTCGCTACAAGTTCTTGCTGGCCCGGTCTATATTCACAGTCTCACACATGCAACCACGTGGAACCGACCAAGAAAGTTAATAAATTGAGTTCATGTCATGAATTCTATTTTGCAAGACGTATTGATTTGGGTCTTTACATTTCGGGGGGCATCCGTTTAGAAGGACATGTTCAGCCGGTAAAGAATGGCCGACGGACTTGGCATAGCGTGGCATCCCAGCCAAGCCTCCACGGCTTGTCTTGTCTACTTGTTCCTACAAGTAGTAGCAAGGCCAGGAGCCCCTAGTAGCGTCCTTGCTCCTAGTAGTAGGGCCAGGAGCCCCTAGTAGCTTCTTAATTGAGCAATTGTTTACATAAGCAACATTTGCATTTTGTCTTTGTTTCTAATAGCGATGGCCTCCAACCTGCTAGCGTCCTGAATCGGTTGGTGAGTCGGATCAAAAACCTATCCCAGCCAAGCCTCCGCGGCTTTGGTTTGCTCGCCATGAGGAAAACGAAGCTGTGGTGGCAGCCTTCCTTTCTGAAACCTCCAACGCGGACACGCGGCATGCATGGCCCAGAGTGGGGGCTTCCAGGAAACGTGAGCAGAAAAATGAACAGTATGTCCCATTTGGGGGTCACTGTAGATGAGTGCTGTGAAGTCCAAGCAGACTTGGAGCACTAGAGTGTGTGTAGCATCCCTTCAGCATGTCAGTGGAGCAAGAGGTCTTCAAAAGCATTTCTTGATCGCAAAGCACAGCCATTTGTGGTCTATGAGTGTGTCTTCTGCATTGCCATGCCCAGCATCTTCCTATGTTTGCTTCACCCCCTCGCTGCCGAGGAGTTGCTTTCCTGGGATCCGTTGAAGGTGGAGTCGTTTCAGGCAAGCACCTATCGGCCTATCGGTAGAGGCACTGTTCACGTCGTCCAAATGCGGCGCTTGGTCCAACCAAAGCAGTGTTCAAGCACCTGCATGTGCAGCAACAGACCTGCTTCTTCGGCAGAACAAAAACCATGTGGGGGGTTGGAAGATCAACATCGTAGATGCACCTTCCCCCATTATTCTGTTGCAGAGCTTTTTTGGGCGGGTCTACGTGCTTTGACCTTGCATGTCCATAGGGCCTGGCCTCTGAACATGATAAATTGTGACTCGCTCGGATGGGACCAGTGACGGTATTGCTTCTTTGATACCTAACAACTGTCAGCGGTGTTTGGTCATTTTGGTCATCAGCCACCAGGGTTTTTGGACCCACGAGCTGCCCGAACCCGAACCGACCACTTGTGGAGCGCACAAAACTGGGACAGGTTCGTGGGAGGAAGAGTTTGAAAGAAGAGATTGAGAAAAAGAGAAACTAAAAACAAAGAAAAACAATACAACAAAAAAGGGATGGTTTTTCGTGTCGTTCTTTAAAGCAAAAGAACTGAGCTCTGCATCTGGGACATTCGACGATGGCAATCTGCAGGAGGGGGTGACTGAATGGATGGTGCCCGAGAGCGACTTCGAGACGAGCCCTTGCTGCAGTCGGGGAAAACAGTGGAAAGGTGTGGAAAAAGGCGCCCGAATTTGCGTCCTTTTATTGGAGCTTTGATGTCGCTGCCGTATGATAGGCCATGTTCAACATTAGTGCCTCCAACCGTCGATTGTACTGGCTGGGGGAGATTCCGGAAACAGTCTTAACCTTCGTTAGTGAGGTTGCAGTATTTCACGAATGCACTGCCCCTGACACTACCCCCAACCACCGTCCTGAGTGCAGCAAAACCAAAACCCTCTCCATCCCGGTCGCCATTTCAGTGGAGGGCATACTTGACTGCCCACGGGAAACGAGTGGGTTCGTCATATATTGCGTGATCATCTCAGTGACGTTGATTTATATTTTTGGGATGGACGTGTCCATTTACTTTGACATCACCAAAATGTTTGATGTCTCCAAAGTCCTCTGCGTGTGCATTGTATGGTTGCTTCGGTCTACAACGTTGTGCACGTCAAACCCCTTCCATACGAGCCGATCTTCGCGCTGGCAGCGATTGCGTGTACGGGCGCAGCATTAGGAATGCAGAGCGCAGTGAGTCTTTGCTTCGCAATAGTGCTAGCAGTGATTCTGTTGGTGCTGGACGCCATAAGACCATCACAAGCGCGGGTGGCCATCGCGACATGCCTGATCATGTCTTTCACTGCCGACCCACGCCTGGGATTGTCAGAACTTGCATCCCTATCGCCGATGGATGGTCCCGGATCTCCGTCCTCAATGTAGTGACCTGCATGACACGCTTCATGATGAACTCTCTTCGCGGGCTTCGCCAGAGCCCGGCTTCTTTACGCCTGAGTTTTCCGGCATGGTCCTCTTTTCTTGCATCAATTCTTCCAAAGACATACTTTAGTTCGCGTGATCCCCATGACATTTCAATCATTTGTCTTGCCATGGTCGTGAGTTTTGTGGTTCTCGATTTTGCTTATGGGTCCTCGGGTTGTGTGTTGTGGTTCAGTGCTGTGGTTGTGTGCTGTGGATGTGTCTTTGTGGTTGTGTGTTGTGGTTGTGTTTGTGGTTGTGTGTGCAGTTGTGTTTGGTTGTGTTTGCAATTGTGTGTTTGTGGTTGTGTGTTGGTGGAGGTCCGGCGGGGAACACTGCCAGCCGGAGCTCGCGGTTGAGGTCCGGCGGGGAACACAGCCATCCTGCACGTGCGGTTGAGGTCCGGCGGGGAGCTCTCGGCATTTCCGAATCCATCGAACTCCAAGCTTGCCCCTGCTGTGGGCGACGTTTTATCATCTCTAGGCTGGGACTGCAGTCAATCTCTTGTTCTTTTGAGAGTGTTGAACAGAAACACAACACGTTCAACAGCGGCGTGCATATCTTGCTTTGGATGTGGAAGGAACAGCTAAGTATCATAGTTGTTATCGCGATTGGCACCTTGAAGAGAATGAAAGGAGAATCTGGTCACGTGAGAGGACCCCCACCTCAGCGAATTGGAAAAAAAGTGGCCTCAAGTATAGCATCGGCACATTGGAGTGAAGTATACATTCTCTCCAGAGCTCTACGGAGCAGTTCCAGCCCCTGCGCCTCTCAGACCGCCTGACACCGCCGCAGCTATGTCATGTCCGATGTTGCGCCCTCATATCTCATGGCACAGCAATCTTGACCACGCACACATGGGCTTTGTTTTGTCAAGGGCCACTTGTCTTGACCACGCATGAAACTTTGACTTGTCAGCATGGGATGGCCGATTTGGTGGGTATGCCATGCGCTGATGTACACAAGGGGCATGGAGTTTACATTATTGATACGATTAGCCTTCGTTTTCCAAAAAGACTAGCAGTCGCCTGTGCGGGCCATGACAGGCTTGCCAACATCCTAGAAAGAATTGGGTGGCATGAACTTTGTTTGCAGACTACATACCATTATGCGCTGGAAATGGAAACTCCATATATGTTGGTCCTTCACGTTGAGATTGCTGAATGCTCCACGCCCAGGTGCTTTTGCTGGAGGCAATGAGTCCACTTATGCAAACTACCCAAACTAATCGATACATGAGTGGCCTTGAAGGGTTTTACTTGCAAGGGTACCCAGACCAGTATCGTCAAGAGTGTCTGACCGTCGTTGCGAAAGGGGTCCTGGAGCCGGATGATGATTGCTTGGAAGTTGTGGAGCCCACGCCGGTCATCCCCCACTTATATCTGTAAGCAACGATCCACTGGGTTCGTCTGAGCGTACAGTGCCTTGTACTTACTTATGAGAGTCAGAAAAGACGATTTTGGCAGCTCCTATGCTGGGCGCGCGCTGAGCTGCCACGACGAGTTACGTGCCATCTAGTATTGTTGCACTTGTTCAGTGGGAGACATGGTGCAGGGGATGTCCAGAATGCCCTCGCTGTACCAGATGGAGCACTTTTTACGGTGGTTAAAAACGCACTTTGCAGAACCAACGGGCAAAGTGGTTCACTGGTACGAGACGGTGCGAAGGTCAATCCAGAGCAATCATCGCTTGGTTTTGCGTTGCAAATTATGCTCATGCAGGCCACGCAGGAATATTTCGGCCTTGCAGTCCCAATGAGTACATGGCAGGCAAGGTGCACCCCTGCGAGTATTTGGAGGAAAGCAACAGGAGCATTTCGCCCCTTGAAGCCCACGAGGGGTTGGGTGTTTCCAGTTCCCAGATTCCGACTTTCCCTTCCCTGCGGTACACAAAGCTCTTGGAACACAAAGCCATTCTGGAGCTGCTACGTCACCGTCCTGAGTGGCGGGCGCACCACATCGAAATCAAATTTCGTCATCGGCGCTTGGGGCAACCTTTCTATGAAATCTGCTGCCTGGATACTGTTGATTGTGCCAAACAGTGGCAAGCTTTTTACATCTTGACAAAGACAGACATGCACCCGCCATGTACATTGATCTTGCAAACCCGAGGGGAGCACTCACATGAACAGCTGTCTATTGCAGTAGCCTTTGTTGACACTGAAGCCGACATCCCTGGCACTGCTTTGCCAACTCCAACCCAAATGAGCAACTGGCTACGACGACAAAAACAAAAGAGCAAGACGGTTTTGGCCAAGCACAAGACACTTGTCGAAGTAGCGCAGCTCCAACTTGCACAGATTCCCCGTTCTTTGCCGGACGACGCGCTCAAGTTGCTCTTGTTGGAAGAGCCGATCATGTCCAAAGATGAAGTGTGCGTCATGTTTTCCTGCCGGGCCATGTTGCATCAGCTTGCTAGATACGACGATACCGTTTTGCGCTGCAAAGTGGACGCAAAAATGAAGGTTGCCAATGATGGCTATGGAGTCGCCACCTTCGGCCTTCACAAAAGACACTTTGCGAAAAACGACTTTGGCTCGCTCCTCGGCTGGCGCCGTTGCTCCGCAACCTCCCCGCGTGCAGGGCTTTGCATACACAAACCACGCTTGGCCAGTGGCGCAAGCCATAATCCACCAGCAGACCGACCAAAACTTTCGGCGGTTTTTCCGCACAGTGGACAGATTGTGGCAAGGCAGCAGGTCGCCGGCTCGCACGCCCTTGGCAGAGCTTGAGTTCAACTTCACAAAGACTTCAAGAAGGAGATTGAACTAGCTCGGGTCGTGTGTTTCCCACGTTCTCGAGCGCGCGATGATTTTTTCACTGGAGTCAAAAACAGCACACCACTATGGCTGCTAAATGTTCGAAACTCGTTTTGCAACAAGGCCAGTGGGTCAAATCGTCCGCTTCTTGCCAACTTTGCCGCTCTTTTCCTATGTTTGGGCAGCATACCTTCAGTGGCTCACGGATGAAGGCTCCCTGGATTTGGTCGCTTGGCTTCGTTCTTACGAAAGGCCTTTACCATTTTCCTTGGAGCAAAAATACGCCGACGTGTCGCCGCAGCCCACGTATGCGAGTTTTTGGAGTGGCTTGACTGGTACAATTCCTGGCAGCGGTGCTGGGAGCCAACCAGCAGAAGCTTTACATGCCCCATGGCAACGCAATCTGCAGTCTTTAGGCGGGCACAGTTGACCACGTCCTCTTCGTCATGCAAAGCCTCTACACGGATCACTGGCAGCACTTTCATGGCACGGCGATGAAAGTTTGCGCTTTTCTTATTGTGCGCCTTGGCATTCTTAAGGTCTTGCTTTTTGCTTCTGTGTTTCCACATGATGATACAAGTCATCATTATGTGCAAAAACATGTCCGCTGCTAAGGCCGTGGATCCCGGCTTGGTCAGCAGTCAAGCGCTTGCCAAAGCTGGACGCACGTCCGCAGCACGCTTTAGAGAGCTTCCCGCCGACCAACCCTGTACAGTATTTGGTAGCCCGCCCGTCATCGTTGCATTGATTGCTAACGAACAACGGGCGCCTTTGAATTTAGCCACAGCTGCTGCGGGAACGCGGATGATCGCAGAGACCGACCCAACGCAAACTCTCCATCGTGTCGGGGCGCTGAACGCTGCTCATGCGCTGCAGCTCGCCACCTTGCGGGCAGTTTTTCAGGCATGCCCGAACCCGTCAGCGGCAATGGCGTCGTGTAGCTCTGCGGTGACCCATTCATGTTCAAGTTCGTTCTCCTAATTTTGTTTCTTCCTAGAACCATGTGCCGTGATTTTGGTTCTGCCTCACTCCCTGCAGGACATTGTCTACGTCATGGACAATGGAGATCGATCCGCTTGCACACGCAGCGTCTACGCTTTCAACAGCCGGTGTGAACACACCACCTTTGTGGACAGCTTGCAAGTCCGTGCTAGGCCCCCCCGCATTGATTTGAATCGTTTGCCAGCTGCTTCTCGGTCGCGTGGGCGCAAACGCGCCTTGACCCCAACACCTCGGCAGCAGAAAGCAATCTACAAGCGGCAGACGAAATCTTGGCAATAGCCGCCAAAGCATTACTTGCAGACGACTGCAATAAATGGCTGTGATTTCACCTTGCTGTCTTATGAACGTTCTTTCAAACGTCGACGTGTGACCACATCTTCCAATCCCCCCGCCTGCATGAAACAGGGTCGCTCTATCCATTGCTGCCTTTGCCCGTCCCGAGCACATCGCCATCATCTTTGCCAACGTCGTACAAGGCGCCTCGTTCTGGTGTCGCTTGCGGTGTTGCTGCTGCGGTTGCGGTTGCAGTTGCAGTAAGTAGTAGTAGTAGTAGTACTAGTAGTAGTAGTAGTACTAGTACTAGTACTAGTACTAGTGCTAGTCGTAGTAGTAGTAGTAGTAGTAATAAGTAGTAAGTAGTAACTAGTTACTAGTTACTAGTTACTAGTTGCTAGTTGCTAGTTGCTAGTTACTAGTTGCTAGTTGCTAGTTGCTAGTTACTAGTTAGTAGTAAGTAGTAAGTAGTAAGTAGTAAGTAGTAGTCGTAGTCGTAGTCGTAGTCGTAGTAGTAGTAGTAGTAGTAGTAGGAGTAGCAGTAGCAGTAGCAGTAGCAGTAGTAGTAGTACTGGTTGTTGTAGCAGTAGTAGTACTTGTTGTTGTCGTCGCTGCTGTTGTAAACGTAGTCATAATAGTTGTGGTCGTCGTCTTCGTCGTAGTAGCAGTATTGGTTCCTTACCGTCGCAAAAACAACCCTCTTCATCGACGTTTAACCATTCAAAAAAAGAAACCGCCGCATCGATGCAAAAAGCTTCGTTCGCCTCACATAACGTGACATAACCGTTGTTAGAAAAAACTCTGCCGAACGGATGCAAAAGCCTCGCCTTAAATAACCGTCGCAAGTTGTTGTTACAAATAAAAACCCAAATCCGTTAGCCAACCAAACGCGGGAACCCAAAATCGGTCGTGGGCACTGTCAATCGCTCCCGGGCTATGTCTTTCTCTGCCACCGGTCGCGGGAACCGAAAACACCCATACGGGAACCCAAAAACTCTCCGGGAACCGAAGCGGGCACCGCAAAACTCTTAGTGGGAACTGCAAGGCCGCGCCGCTGGGAACCGCAAACGCCCTGGGAACCGAAAACACCGCCGGGAACCCAAAACACCGGTGGGAACCGAAAACCGGATTGTGGGAAAAAAAGACGCTAGGGAACCGAAAGTCGGATTCCAGGAGCCGAAAATACGGAGCCCGCCCACGACGCTCCTTTTGACAGGGATGTCATCTGATGCCGCAAGATTGGATCGTTAAGGTCAAAACCACCGTAGTGCCCGAAGAGGCAACCATTGGCTTAGGTCCAGCAGGATGGCGAACAGGGAGGTTGAAAGAAAAACCCCCCCACTGTGCCCACATGTTCAAGCTGGCTGCAGAGGCAGCCTAGTGCGCCGGTCCGAGATTTTGGTGATGTCCATGCTTGGGTCCAAGACTTGGGTACAGAGATTTGACCTCCAGCCACAGGGTGCCTTTTTGAATTCAAGATTCTGTTCATGTCTGGATCCGACCCTTGCGCTTGGCATTTGAGCCCCATGCGCACCTGACTTCCCGAGGAGCAGATTGATGCACAAGAGCTATGACGCCCCGCAGCGGCTCAGCAAAGTAAGTCGGAACTTGAAGCCTCATGAAGCCTTTGTAAAACTGTTTTTATATATCGATGCCTTTAAGAAAAGGGGGGTCCGGCTGACGAAGCGTTGGAAAGAAGAGGGCGTTGTGCAGATGGAGGGCGGGTACTTGAACTACTTGAAACCCAGAAAGGCTAGAAGGCTTACAAGATGTTGGACAGCAGAATAGGAGTTTTGTCATTTTTGTATGTGGCAGTTCAAGGAGAGGATGAGACGTACACGACTGGAAGGGGTCCGGAAGGCACCACTCAATTTGTGGGTTTCTGGTTGTGGCAGTGGAGGCTGCAGGTGTTGTGTTTTTTTTGTTGGGCTACCCGCGAACCACACCCTAGCTCACCTCCGATCTTGGTTCCTCCCGAGTGCCGTGTTGGAGCAGTGGCCTGCCGGGGGATCTGACAGCAAGTCATCTATTGCAGACTCTCTTTGTGTGGGTTCATGATTTATCCTTAAGACGTCACCAAGGTGCTAGAGTTTCATACCAAGAGAGACTCGCAGATGAAAAACCCAGCGCCAGGCTGCCAAAGTCTCAGGCCGCAGCGAAAAGCGAAGCGAGAGCGGAGCGGGAGCCAAGGGCGAGCGGCACCAAAGGGCCACCACCCTCCTGAGATTCACCCAGCATGGCAACCCTTTGTACCTTCCTTCCTTCCTGTTGCGAAGCCCAATGAGTGATATGTGGGTCCATCCAATGCCAAGAAAGAGGTGCCATGTGGATGTCAAATGTGTCGAGGTGATTCGAGCGCGGATTCCAAAAACTCTGTTCATGAACTTTTATACAAGATCTTCCTGAAACTTTGGCAATGTGACAAAGAATGTGACAAAAAAGACGGCTGCTAGAAAAGCAAAAACAGTTAAGGGCGGGTGACCCAGATAAAAAGAGACCCCTGAGCGAATGAGTGTGAATGCTACCCGCCCCCATTCAGCAAGGCCGCGCTCTTTCCCCCGAAGAACGAGCTTCTCCAAGCGAGCCTTCGCCGCTGCCGCCGGCTGGTGCCACTTAGCCCGGAGGCCAGCCACGACCGGGACGCGACGAGTCGTCGCTTCATTCACTTGATTGAACGTGCTCTACTTGTTCGACAACACGAACAAAACGATGCTCTCCTTGGACTCGATGTGAGTCGGGGATTTGGCTTCTTTGGTCGCTCACACCGCCTGACGTGGGGAGCGAATGGTGGCCCGAGGCTGATGAAAACCAACTGCTCTTTGATTTGAATGAGTCCAAGCATGGTTGCCCCAGCAGGAGTTGTTTTCAAAAGGGCATGGGAAGCGTTTGAGCACCTCAAGTTCAGTACACTTCTCACCCCGCGACATATATCAGGTCAGCAGTGAAGGCGAACCAATATCCGGCAGACGGTGCTAGCTTGAACAAAATACCGAAGAAAGGCTTGAAAAGGTTCTCAAAAAAAAAGAAGGCAATTGGTTGGAAGCAACACGAAAACCAAAGAGATCATTACACGTAGCCAAATCGCCATGCCAACCACACGTAGCGTAGCGCGGAGGACTTGGAGCATGTTGGTGTTGCAGATCCAAGCTCTTGCAAATGTGTATTTGCCCAGATAAAGGAGGGTAGTGATTGGGTAGCAATGCTAGACCGGTAGCAGTGTTGTGGTGGAAGGCTGCCCTCAGTTCGAATCCAATGGCCTTCTCAGACACACAGAATGCCGGAAAGCCATCATCTTGGCCCTTGGGGCTTCACAGGCGGATGCCGCAAGGAGGCCATGGTCTTCTTGACATCATTCGGCGATTGCTGAAGCACTCGGCGTTTGCTTCCAGGAGTTCGTAAGAAAACAGAAAGATCCCGTCGGCAGATGCCTGAAGACGTCCCGTTTTGCTGGGGAATAGCTTGAGAACAGACAAGGACGTACAGATCTGGTGTACCGAGAGACTCCGTTCTAGCACAAGAGAGGTGCAAGTTTGACAGAGCATGTGCAATTTTGGTCTAGGAAGGAAATCCAAGAGTCATCTTCAGTGGCAGCTGCCAGTCAAGACCAAGTCACAAAGTCTCACGAAGTAGGTGACGCTCACCCGCCAGAATAGTATCTCTGGCGTTCTTCTCATTGGTGCCATCGGTGACTCGTTTTGAACACAAGTGGACAATGCAATTGGCAAGGCCTCCGTCACCAGTCCTCAGCGATTTCGTGGTGCCATGGTGGCCGCCCTTTCCGCCCTCGCCGACCGGCCCGGGACCGTTCGGATCGGGTCGGGACGGGGTTCGGCGGCGGTTCCAGGCCCATCACGGTGGCTTCTTCGTGGCCGTGGTCACCAAGAGCAAGGGCCCCAAAAGCCCGCCGGGAGCCTCAAGAGCCGAGCTCTTTTGAAAAAGCCGGTAGCAGATGGCATCCAGCAAGGATCTTGCGTGTGCAGAGTTGAACACTCAAAACCAGCACTTTTTGGAGAGGCTGGATCTTCCTCAGTAGAAAGTCGAATCACAAAACACGGAGACACGCGCTGCATTTTGCAAACGAGGCTTGCTGGTTTTTGTCGGGGCAAGCGAGGTCGGCCCCCTTTGAAGAAACCAAAGGTTCTGATCCTAGAGGATAATTGAAGAACTCCTGTGACCTTCATTCGAGTGTGGTGGGGACTCTTTTTCAAGGACAAACAAAGGTTCTGATCATCGAGGGTTCTGCAAAGAAGGGTTGTGAGTTGATGATTTGGGGTTCCAAAAGTACTTGTGGGCAACCTGTTCCCATGTCAGAAGAGGTTGACTTCCCAGAGGAGAAGAATTGAAGTGGGTGGGAGGTTCAACAGTGAGTCGACCGGCGCAGGAACCCTTCAGCGGCACAGGAATGGGAGCCTGTGGAGGTGGAGGCCAGGGAGGGTTTGGTCCCCCAAGGATTCAGACAATGGTTCGATTCTATTTATTTACTTGAGAATCCGTAATCACCATCAAACACTCAGTGCCTCAGTGCCTCGATGCTGGATATATCATAAACTTGTTTTCCCTTTGTTTTGAACTAGCTCCCAACGAGAGAACTACTGAGTTCTTAAACATGCTTCCAGAACTGATCCTTTTTCTTTGTGTTAAATGTTCGATGCAAAAGCCAAGGGCGCCAAGCACAAAAGGAGTCGTGACTTGAAGGCCCAAGGCGCCAAGAGCTCTCTGGTACCAGCCACGACCTCTCGCCAATGCGCCAGCCATGCGTGGTGCAGGCAGATCTGGAGCAAAAGGTGAAGAAGCATCCCATGTGCCACAGCTCATCGTCGCCGAATATGTGCGCTCCAAAAAAGACTGGACAATAGAAATCATCCTTCGGACCCCCACAACACTCACAACTTCCATGGGGGAATTGGGAATTAGAGGAGGTTAGAGGCCATCGCTATTATATAGGTGTCTTTTCTTCTGTTTGTTCCTTTTGGTTTCTTTTATTGAGGAGGCTTCAGTTGCCCGGACCGATGCCGAGGCGCCGTCTCTTTCAGCCGGTACCGGTGGAACGCTGGGCCGCCCTGCAGGCGTTTCTGGTGTGGGCATTGGGTGGGCATCGGCGTTGGTTGGAAAGTTTGAAGAATGAAAGAAAGAATGAAAATCCTCACATCTTGTTGCAGATTCCAAACATCTTCCCTTTCACAGGTGACTTCTCCATTTCTGAGGATTCCACCATCTGGGTGCAACTGCTTCGGGGCCTCGTGGACCGAAGTGAGGACGACGTCCCCGCGCTCCCCGCGCTCCCACGCGCTCCCCGCGCTCCCACGCGCTCCCACGTCGCGGAGGCCTATTGGTCGCTGGATCTGCCAGTGGAGCGGCTCTCGGCGAACCGTTTGGGGCAGCTGGTCCTCGCCACCAGGACCGGCGGAGCCACCGGGAGAGCAGCAGAGCCTAGCAAAAATCCTCCCTGCGTAAGAAGAGGCTGAAGCCGTCGAAGCCTCTGATGATCGATGTTGATGTTTTTCAGATGTCCACTCAAGGCACAGAAGCAGAGGTCACTCGAGGCAAAAGGACCCCCCCCACTGTCCAGACTGGCGATCGCCTCAAAAAAAAGGACTCTAGCCGCCTGCTGTGTGAGCAGGAAGGCGCGTTTTTCCGGAACGGGGAGGACAATTGGAATCGGGTGTGTTCATCAGAGCCAAATTACTGTACCTGGACCCTCCAACAGGTCTCCTCTGGTGGCTTTTGGAGACTTAAAAGTCGCAGGTGGTGACCGGAGGGTCCTGGTAGTAGCTTCATGCAGCTTCTGACCGGTGCTTGACCAGTACCAAGTGGTTTCCAAACAATCACAATTTGCGCAAGATTGGACTCTCCAGGACACCCGAGCTGGACGTCAACCTGTGATATCTCAATGTCAACCAAAGGACGCAACTGAGTGTTCTTTTTCATTTTGTTTGGTTGCAAGAACCTGATTGGGACGAATTCCAAACACCCAGACAGACAGACAGACAGGCGGCGCACCCGTAGCACACGCGAGGTGGATCTGCCCATCGTAGAGGGCGGCCTGGCACTCTTCCCCGCGGAGGGCCTCAAGCCCTTCGATGAAGCAGCACCTCGGGCGGTCCCAAAAAGGCTCATGTACATCGTCTTTTTGCTCCTGAAGCCAGGTAGAATCCGGAGTTGAGAAGAACTTGTTTCAAGATGATTCCTTGGAGGGGGGGTGATGGTGAAGTGGACGAAGCATGTTGGATTCAGGTCCGTCTTGGTCGTGGCGTGGTCACCCCGGTCCCGATTCCGAGGTGTCTTTCTTGTCTGGGTATACCCCGCGGAAGAAGCAGCTGACCCTGATGGAGTTCCTGGAGATGGTGAAGGCCACCGATGTTGGATGCTTTGGGTCAGATCAGATGAGATGCTTTAACTCAAAGAGACCCTGAAAACAGGCTTTGGGGCTCTGCCAAGAGGCTCCCTCCTTTTTGGGGGGTCGATCTGAACAGAGGAGAGGAGTTCGCTGCTGGGGTGCGATTTGGGCCTTTTCGTTTGCTGGGGTGCCTCTTTCTAGATCTGGCTCCAACGGGGTCCCACCCATCTCTGCGTTCACTGTTCATTGAAGGTGAAGTTCAGGAGTCGCTGCAAACGACTCGCAAGGTTCAGGGCCCCGAGTTTGGGGATCGGCCAAGTCCTCTACTTGGAGAAGCCATGAACAACATCGGGATGCCGCAGTTTAGCAATGCACTTCAATTGGGACTTGTTCCAACAGTCAGATAGCAATCACCACTAGAAGCAGCCCGTAAGATTTGTCAGTGAGGAATGGCTTGTCAGGTGGAGGCCATCGCTCTTAGGTTGGAGGCCATTGCTATATTGCTATTAGGAACTCTTAAAAGAAGATGGTGTTGTTTTAAACCTAATCTAATGAGTTACGGGCTGGTGATGAATGACTGGTGCTTTCCACATCCGTGTGACAATCGTTTAGCCCCTCGATCAGGCAGAGCAGAAGGAAGAGGAAGAGGAGGAGGAGGCGCAGCGGGTGGAGATGTTCACCACCAGGTGAAATGGATAGGAATCCCGTACCACAGCAGAGTCACCTGGGTTTAGGGTTTCGGGTTGATGGCTGGCTTAGTTTGCAAAGAATCGGTCAGTTCGTCTCTACTCATCGAAGATGCTCATCCGCTGGTGGCTTTGGTGGACGTTTTCAAAGAGCAAGGAGGGCAAGGTATGACGAGTCAAGGAAGCTCAGAGACCTGCCAAGTTCCCCCCCTAGCTTCTAGAGCTAGAGACGCTCAAGGCAACAGGTCAACGGCTGAGGGACTGTTTACTTCACCACGTGGCTGTCCGGTCAGGACTTGCACATCTTCACCTTGGAAGCCGTGACTGAACCGTGCAAGCGCGTCTTTGCTGCCCGGACCACTCAGAAAAGCAGTGAAAACGCACCACGTGAACATCACGCTGATCCCCAGTCGATCCCCAGTCGTGGAAACGGAAAGCACCAAGGTTTGGATCGTCGTTCTTTTTTCGGTTGCCATACCGAGACGGTTGCTGTCGACCGAGACGATGCTCCTGATCTTGGAGTTCCCGTTCTTGGAGCTGATCCTTCTTGGTTCCGAAAAATGCTCTTCAGATGAACAACCATTTTGTCCCTTCACCCAGAAGTCCAGCATGTCCATGTTCTTCCAATGTTCCACGCCGGAAGATCGGAATCCTTTCACGTCGAAGTGCAGCATGTCCAGGTCCTGGGCGCCACCCAAAACGGACGAGCCTGGTGCGTGGCTTCTCCCAGGCGGACGGCGTGCGGTGAACACAGGGAGAAAGAAAGAATAGATCTCTGTAAAAATAATGCAACCTACTAGCGATGGCAACAAAAAATTGTCTTGAAAGAAAAGGAGAAAACGAATGGTCGATGGGGAAGTCGCCCTGTGCCTCCATTTGGGCACGGAGCCTGATTCGGCGGCTTCGGATTGGGCAGGTACCGCCAGGTGCTGTTGGAGGTCTTGCGCGAGATCGTAAAGACAAGAGATGTTCAGCAGTCAAAAGAAGATGCAGCGCTTTCGTGTTGAGTTGGTGAAATGGTTGGGCACAGAAGGCCAGCACCGGACCGCTCAAACCGGGGGGGTGGACTTGACCCGAAGACGAAATCCAGACCGCAGACGAATTAGCACAGCAAACACGAAGACGAGGACACATTCCCCAAGGGAAAAATTGCAGTCTTGTAGTTTCCCGGGGGGGAGTGTATGGGAGTGTGAGAGATTGAGACTCTGAATTTGGATGAATTCGACACACTGACTGATGAAGTCAGACGTAAAATGATTTGCAGGATATGCAGAGCCTGAACGTAAGGAATTCAAACACAAGAAAAGGTAGTGGATGAAATTCAAGGTTAGAGACAAAGCATCTAAACAAAGTGAGGGGCCTGAAATGAAAAGGACTCGTGTCTCACGCAGTCGTGGAATTGAAACCAGAAAGGATATCATATAAAAGGAACGTTCTCAATCGACAGGAAGCTTCACGCCAAAGGAAGGGCTTGAGACGAAACCCTTTACCTCAGCACCGTGCCCTCCTGCACGTATAGGCCCTATATAGGACGCTGTTTTCTGCGGTTTATGGAGGTTCACCACTATTTTTCTCAGTTCATATACATGCCCGACGCTGATATCGAGTATGGAGGCGGCCAAGGGATGTCCTGCAAGCGCTACGGTGAAGGCAGAGGTTGGAGTCGTCAGCCTGCGGATGCTGCCATGCGAGGTCAATATACAATGGTGTTTAGATCAGCAGAGACATGTGGGGCTCTGTCCCAATGGCGTTAGCTCGTGGCTCAGTGCTGCACATCCTTCCGCCTGGAGCGGGGCTCTACGATGCTGCCAAGCTCGCGCGGCAAAAGTGCATGCTTTGACCGAATTCTTCGCAATCTGCATGCGGCGTCAGGGCCCATGCGGCGTCCTCCACGAATGCATCGTCGCGTCGCCAGCGTTCTCGCGGAGTCAGGGCCTATGTCTTGCCACCATGTCTCTGCAACAGGCGTCTTCAACGTCAGGTCAAAAGTAGCACCCCCACCAGCGGCCTCTTTGGACTTTCACCCCGGCCGGACGAGGAACCTGAAGGGCATTCGCAGGGTCTCAAAATCAGGTTGACCACATTGACTGGTGCATGGATCATGAAGAGAACATGACTCTGCTTACCAGGCTTACCACATGGAGCTGTTCATGAGGTTTCTCACGTTTTCCGGTCCTTGCGGTGCAAAACTAATGATGGTTGAGTTTTGGATGTTCCAGGATCTCGCAAGTGACAGTTGGTTTTGACACTGGTTCCTTCTGGACATCAATAGTTCATCAATACGGGCCGATGGCAGCGAAGAGCGAGCCGACATGTCCTGACTGGAGCTATCAGGAGCTTCCGTTTTTCTTTTGAGCTGGGCAAGTGCCAGTGGGTTGAGCGGATCTGGCCGAGGTCCTGAAGGGGCACCCTCATGTGAGCCCAGGCAATTCCGAAGGAACAGTAAACTAAACCTCTCCCTTGCAGAGGTTCTAGAGCTTGTGATTCATTCACCCTAGCATCGGCGAAGCTCAAGAAGGGAAGTCGAATTCGCACCACCGGTTTTCGCGGAGCACATTCACCGTGCACCCTTTTGCTGCACCCGTCGAAGCTTTTCTTCGGGTCCCTCGGCCCCGGTCCTCCAGCGCGAGAGGAGTGCAAGCGCGCAGCTGGAGTTCACCGGAAGACCCGGCGAGAAGACCGAAGACCGAAGATGGGCTTCAACTGGCTGATTCACGGCGGTTTTGCCCATGAGGTTCAGCAGGTTGGGGGGGAGGTGTAGGACATAGACATTAATTATTGGTTGGTAGGACAAAAGCACCCTTGTCAGAATCGCCATGTGTTTTTTTCCTTTTTGGAAGGCACAAGAGGACCCACGCCTCTCAGCAGGTAAACCAGCTTGCCGTCCTTCGATCACGCCAAGATGAAGGGGTTCCAGACGGTTGAAGTCACAGGACCGGGAGTTTGCTGAGAGAGTTTGAATTTTGCTCTGGGAAAGCTGTTGAGAAGAACTAGCGAGACAGGGCAAGCGCCTTTGGATACCTTATTGAATTCGATGAGCGCCTTTCGAGAGGGTCGTGCCCACTGTGACCTCACAAAAAAAGAAAAATCAGATCTAAAGACCTTGTATGTCACCAGCCTGCAGGCCCTGCACGGCTGGGAGTCAACCAGGATACCGTTCGACGCGGTAGAGGTTATCATACACGGCTTCGAAGGAAGTGGACATGGTTTTGGAGCGTGTGTTTCCTTCGATCTACCTCGATCCCGATTGGCTCAAGGGAGAATTCATGTCTCCATCGAAGGGTCACAAAAGCAACTGCCAACCCTTCAGTTCAGAAATGATCATATTGAGTCATAGTGATAGAGTGATAGAATGATAGAGTGATAGAGTGATAGTGATCAAATCTTTTTGGGGTAAGCCGAACACCGATGTTGGGCATTCTTCGGGGACCCAGCGACACCGTGATTTCGGAGCTGCATGGAGCACGAGATCCATGGCTCCAGTGAGCGAAGCGAGGGTGGACGCGAGGCAAAGCAAGTGAAGGCGAGAAGCGCCTTGAGAAAGCACTCGTCTGGGCCTAGAAAACCTAAGAGTGGAAGAAATTTACTCCAGCTGGAGACCCCAATAAGATACAAACCAGGACAAAAAGCAAAATCTGGAAACAGCTGTTTTCAACACATCGACCATCTCTTCCTTGGACACCATCACAACACGACCGGGACACCATCCGCCCACCAGCTCTGACGGTGACCCAACGGCGCCCGTCCGCCTATTAGTTTTGCAAGAGTATGGCTATTGGGGAAAAAAGAAGATTGACAAAAGCATCCATTGCAGCTGTTCTGTATTTTTCCGCCTTTCCAAAAAGAAAACTCCATCTCTCCAAGCCAGTGGGCCTTTTTAGACGAGCGAAAGCGAGTGATTTTGGTTGGTCATCGCTCTTGGGTTGGAGGCCACTGCAAGTAGGTTTTCTCAGGCCCTTTTTCAGACCTCAAGCGCTTTCGATCAATGAGTGGGGCGCTTTCGGCAACATCCTTCACCAGCCTTTCAGGTGGCGACCCGCGTGGCACGCATGGAGATCTCCATGCCAAAGGTGCTGCGCGCCACCCGGGCGCACCAGGCGCTGGAAGGCTGCGCAGAGGCCCTGCGAAGCGACGACTGCGGCAGCCTCTACCTGAAGAGCTTCAAGACCGACTAAGCGGTGAATTTGGGAGTTCGTTGTGTTGCTTCTTTTTGGGAGGGGTTTGTCTTGGGTTTTGAAGTCATAGAATCGAACGTGTGATGGTTTGTAGCTGTTTCATGTTCTCCGAACAAAGCTACGACCGGCAGAAACACCGGTGCAGTGGTGAATCCGTGGCTTGGTGAATCAGGAAGTCGCGTGAATCAGTCGCCGCTCGTGGCCAATCACCGACTTCACAGGTTTCACTTGTTTGGAGGTCGCAGGCTCGGTTTCACCTGGTGGGTTCAGCAGTGTGATGTACTAAGTGTTTGCTATTTGTTGTGTCACGGGATGGCGCAGAACAGCTCAACAAACTCCTTAGTGCAACCAGTTTCCTTTGCCTATCAAGGCATCATTGTCCGTCATCCCATTCCGTGTTGCCTATCGAATGCCAGAGCACTTGCAGCACGGCTTGTTGGATTTGTATCAGATAACATAAGCGGCTGAAAGATGATCCGGATGGATCCTGATGGCCATTTTTGCGGGGCTCAAAACGATGTTTGAGATCCATGTCCTGGTCGTCCGAGAGAGGTCACAGTTCGTCGCTTTGATGGTTCAACCCATGTTCAACCAATCCGTTTGGATGCACTTTGGTAGTTTTTTAGGATACTGACAGGAATCCAAAGTTCGAGCTTCGCTTCGTGTCAAGCAAAACTCAGGTTTCAGGAGCGAGAAAATCTCGTGTTTTTGGTCACATTCATGGCATGGTGGACCTTGGATGAAGATCATGACGCTCTTGGTCCACTACAATGGGCGGGCAGCAGTCCTGTTCCGAAAGCTGAGAGAACAACCTTTCAAATTTCTTGAGGTCCCAGTTTTCTCCTCTACTAGGAGCAATGTTCGCTACTAGGGGCTCCTGGCCGTACTACTAGGAGCAATGTTCGCTACTAGGGGGCTCCTGGCACTACTACTAGGAGCAAGAAGCTAATAGGAACGGCCGGGCATCGCTACTTGAATTTTGGTCGTTTCAAAATGCTATGTCCATGGAGTCCACGTCCAAGTGAAAACGTCTCCCAACCTATGGCCTCCAACCCTAGTAGGAGGGGCCATGAGCTTTATAAGTTAGGCTTCCCTAAACATCTAGGAACCAAATGAATAGTGCAAGCGCTTCTTCAAGGAGGCTCCCCCGCCCTCAGGCGGGGGGAGCTTCCTTGAAGAAGCGTGAGCTATCCTGCGTTCTACCTAGTAGCCAATAAGTTTCTACCTTGCTTAAGTAGGCGCCTACGGCGGAGCGGGCCAGGTTCAGTCTTTGCTTCTCACTCATCAGCATGGTTCTGTTCAGCTTGGGCATTTTGCCTGGTATTGTCCGCGCCCCTCGCAGCCCTGACTGGAAGTGGTCAAGCTGGTCTTTGATCAGCGGCTTTGTGGTCGCAGTGGTGGTCTTGCTCCTTTGGCGTCCACGAGAGCCGGTCTTTTTGGATCGGATTTGCATCAACAAGAACAACATGGAGGAGAAGAAAGCCAGCATTTTCAGCTTAGGTGGGATCTTGAAGCGATCGGAGAAAATGATGGTGCTTTGGGATCCCACTTGGAGCACTCGACTCTGGTGCCTCTTCGAGCTCTCCGCCTTCTTAAAGAGCCGAGGATCCAGTGAAGCAAAGCTACTCATCAGACCCACCTTTCTGGGCCCATGTTCCATGATCCTTTTCTCGGGAATCTGTTTTGTGATGCTCCCGGTCACCACCATCTCCTTCAATCCAAGCTGGTGGCCCTTTGGATCGTTGCTGCCCGCGTTGGGCGCCCTTCTCTTCCTCTTCATCGGGGGCTACGTGATGGTCGGAGCCCTGCGCGCCTACTTCCGCTCGTTGGAAACGCTCCAGGAGGGCCCCAAAGAGAAGTGAAAGAGTCCGACGTCCGACTCATCTTGCTTTCCCGAAACCAGACCCAACTTGCTCTCGTAATCAAGACCCAACTTGCTCTCGTAATCAAGACCCTTACTGATACGCATCAGTTTGGAACAACGCAGAGATGTGTGGAGACCCATTTTGCGTCCATGTTTATCCGGTCCTCATCCGATTGGGTGCAAGGTGGCACTTTGGAAATTGTCTTCCTGGTAGTGGATTGTTTTTGATGCATTCTTGATGCATGTCAATATGTCATGACAAATCCTCAAGTCTAGTGGGAAGACGGCTGCTCCTCTTCTTCTCCTTCATGCAGGAGAGGTTGCAGAACATCAGCTTCGACGATTGCCGGTGCGCCTGTTGCGATCTAGGGCATCGACTCGAAGGTGTGGATCTCTTGTGTGACCGGGAGATCGTCAAGGAATGTGTGCCTGGACGCACCAGATCATCTCAGCAATTTTTTTGAGGGGAAAAGGATGAAATCACCAGCCAGCAGGCCACGAAGGATGAGGTTCTTTGCGTTCTTTTCCAAGTTCATAGAGATCGGTGGATCACAGTCCTAACGTGCACCGTCAAGTGTCCCTGTCAAGTGTGTCTGTCAAAACCCTCTGGGTGAGCACATCGGCAAACGAGCAGACTCCGCGGTTTTCGTTGAGCTCCATCTGGTCACCGCCTGGTCGGTTTCGCCTCGACCGGCCTTCGACCCGAGGTCTCCATCTGGTTCGGCAGCCCCGAGGCCTTCGAAGATTGCATCCGATCGGAGCTTCTGGCGGCCGTGACCTGGCGCTTAAAGCAGGATGTCTTCACCAGACACTGGAGCCTCTCAGTGACGATTCCCGTCTTTTGGGGCTTCTTGGATTTGGCGGCCTCCTTTGCAATCATCCATGAATATGAAGAGGCCCTGTCATTCATCATCGAAGGCTTAGTGCTTTGGCTTCTTTGTGGCCCGATCTTACTGGACTTCATGACCTGGTTGGCCTTCCGCTACTGCCGAAGAGCCAGCTCCATCCGCCGAGAGATTTGCACCAATCTGTCTCTACTGCTCGTGGCATCTGGCGGATTTCTCGTGATCCTGGTCAGCTACATTCTCTGCCAAGGCTTCTTAAACGAAAGGATCTGGTATGCCACCGCCTTCTTTGGAGGCCCGTGGTGCATCATAGCTGTGCTTCAGTTTCTGTACAAAGTTTCACACAGATCTCACAGATCCAACAGTTTTTCGCTCAGATCCAGCTGAGCTGGGCCCTGCCTGCAGCATGCGCAGTAACTCACCAGTTCACTGCCAGCAATGGAGCAGAGCAATCGAGCAATATTCTCACAGAAAGTGTATAAATTGAGTCGTAGAATCAAAAGGAACAGATGTTCATCCCCAGCATGTCAGCAAAGGGCATCACTAGTAGCAAGAAGCTACTAGTAACAAAGGCATCGCTACTAGTAACAAGGGCATTGCTACTAGTAGCTAGAAGCTACTAGGTTGGAGGCCAACGCTAGTAGGTTGGAGGCCATTACTAGTAGTTGCTCTCTCCTAGTAACAAGGTTTCTGGGCGGGACGGGGTGGTGTTTGGTTGTGCTGAAGTCGATGTGGTGCAGTTGCACCGTGCAACGAAGGAGATCATGGAGTTCTTCGCAAAGTCGTCCGGCAAGTCCTGGCATTCGCACCCGACGCCTGCAATGCTTAGGCATTCGCTGGAGTGATGGTTTTATATGGTTTCTGGATAAAACCCCATGTGCCAACCACAAAGCAGGCTGTTTATCACAGGACAAGGGAAGCCAAAAAGATGCTCCAAGTTTCACCCGAGCTACCGAAAGCAAAGCGATCAGCCTCCCAAGAGAGAGAGAGAGAGACGGAAAGAGAAAGAGAGACCCAATAGCGATGGCCTCCACCTTACTAGTGATGGCCTCCAACCCAATTGCAATGGCCTCCAACCTAAAAGAGAGAGGGAAAGACACCCATTTTACTAGTAACAAGAAGCTACTAGTAACAAGGGCATCAAGGAGCTTGCTCTAGGGAATTCGCCCCATGACACCTGAGGCGCATCTTCAAGCGCTCACACGAGTAAAAATCGCAGCTGACAAAGCAGCGCCCAAGGCGCGGTACCGTTGGACCGGGTGGACGAACAGCGAAGCAGGTGGATCGATCCGTGGTCGTTTTCATGTTGGGTGGATCGATTCCTACAAAACAAAAAAGCTACTAGGAACAAGTGCATCGCTTCTAGTTACAAGTGCCTTACTAGTAGTAACAAGAAGCTAGTAGTAACAAGCACTTTCCTTTTTTCAGCCTGCCCTTGCTTGATGAAGTAGGCGCCTACCTTAATGAAGTCACGGAGTAACTGGACGCAGGATAGCTCACGTACTGATGATTTGGTTCCGAGATTTTGAGTGTTGTGTTTCGAAGGCCTTGAAGTAAGTCTTGGGACCTCAATGTGTCGTGCAGGATTTGGTCGCTAAGTGGACGACACTCGCCATGTGCTCCACAAAGTGCAGAACCAGTTCAGGAAAAGCCTCCAAGGAAAAAGAACTGAAAGCGAAAATGACCAGTAGCTGCTAAGTAGCTATTTGCTACTAGTAGTAGTAAGGCCAGAAGCTACTAGTAGCGTCTTTGCTCCTAGTAGCGATGCCCTGTGTTGCTAGTAGCTATTTGCTACTTTCTCAAGCATCTGCATCAACTCTGGGCGACTCGCCCCAGGCCCACACCGGACACACGGAGCGTTGGATGAGACACATCTGCACATCTTCTTCAACCGTTGTTTGGGGAAAAAGAAACACTCGTGCCATTCCATTTCAAGGTCTAAACCAGCAAATAGAAACAAAAAAGCTACTAGGAACAAGTGCATCGCTTCTAGTAACAAGTGCCTTACTAGTAGTAACAAGAAGCTAGTAGTAACAAGCATTTAAATGCCTGTTGAAAAGATGAATGGTGTTTCTCAAAAGAACTGATTTTGAACGAAGGGGAGTAGTTACTTTGATAGACGGAAAGCACGCAAAGATTTGATGTGTCTCACACATCAATGGCTCTAGTTGAGGTGGCTCACACTGTTGAACCTCTTGGTTGATGCTGCATTTGTTCAGGCTGTCGTCTCTCTCAGAATTGTGCTGAACACTTGTTCAATCCCCTAATGGAAGAAACTGTCAAAAGAACCCCGGGCCTTGTAGGCCTTGTAGCGCATGCCTCCGACAACGAATCACCTTCTATTGTAAACCACGCTCCCACGCCTACGCACACGTGGGGACGTCCAGGTCAGCTCCAGCTTCCAATCCATGGTGGGCAGCGACGCAGAGACGGTGCCGCTTTCTCCGCTTTCGAGGGCCGGGGGAGTTGCGGAGGAGAGATAGATGAAGCTTGAGGACCTGAAGCCATCAGAACTACCCAGCGAAAACAGAAGGTTTGGAGATGTATCTCGCACAAGCTGTCCCATAGTCCTAAAGTCCTGGAAGTTGCAACATGTCTATTTTTTATTCCCCAAACAGTTTACTGTTAGGGGTTCTCAATGCTTTAAAGAATGGTCGCCTTGGTGCTGGATGGTCTGGTCGGGTTCTCCCAGTTCTTTTCATTTGTCTCCCAATTCTTTTCATGTGTCTCCCAGGCTGGGCGGTTGTGGTCGGGTTCCCGGCTGGCTTGTCTGTCTCCCACTTCTTTTCACAGGCTGGGCGCTTGTGGT